TCCCTGAGCAGCATTATTTCTGCTGCAAGGCACAGGAAGTGAATGACAACAAATAAATTGTTTTATTTTACTTTGAAATACACTTTTTGACAAGTTCTGAATATTTTCCATAAGCATTGCAATTACTTTCTTAAACATCAAAGCTGTAATTTCATGTAGGAAAGTGTGTACAAAATATATATTGCACAGTGCTGACTTAAAGGCTGCTCTGAAAGATTTTTGTAAATGTCAGTTTTCACCCAGGATTAGGAGACAGGGAGAGGAAATGCAGATCTATTCTTTACAGATTTGGGTATCTGAGAGGGAGGGGAGCGATAGAAATAGCCACTTGCAACCTCCTACATGATTTGTATGATGGGCAAAATTCTGTGCCCCTCTGTTAATGCTCGGCTGTAGAGCTCCCCCTCCGCAAACCCTGTTAGGAGAGGCATGCTGGGCAGGCAAGAAGGACAAACCCGTCTGCTCTAGCTGTCACGAGTCCTTACATCGCTGCCCTTAGCAACTTCTTGTTTGCAGAGCAGAGCTTCAGGGCTGCTCTAACTTATTCCAGCAAGGTCAAGAATTCAACTGGTGGAAGAGCGACTTAAAACTCCTTTGGACCTTTTCTCCCTGCTTCCTGCACCTTACACCATGAATGCAACAGTGACACTGACTGAGATGTCATAGTAACCTAGATAAGCATGTGCTCCTCAGTGAGCACTACCTGGCTTGAGGGATGAATGCTGAGGTGAGTTGTGGAGTGGGGAACTGATAGGGATTGTCCCCTCCAGCGGTCTCATCCTCCCCTTCCTGCACACAGGCAGAGTGTGATCCTAGGTCAGAGCAGGGATGGTGGGGAGGAAGACATACTTCCAGCAAAGCTAAAGATAGTGGCCTCATGCCCAGGAGAGGGGTCAGCAATAGCAGAGAGCAAAGCAGTTTCAACAAGCTCTGTTTTTTAACAATTTGTTCCAAATCCACACTGAGGTGCTTCCAACATAACCCTTAACACAGACCTATGCTATAAATTGATAGCTGTTTGTTTGTTTGCTTTTTAAGAGCTGCCTGCTCAGCATTATTTATCTTTTCTAGAAAACAATGATGAATCACATCTACTAAATATATATTTCCAGATGTATTATAAATATAATATAAAAATCTTATAAACGCTGGAACAGCTTCTTCCTGAGAAACACTACTTATAAAATACAAAGCTATTGTCACCATCCCTACCTGCTTAGTAATTTTATTCATTTCATCAGTTAATTATTAGGGACATAGATTGTATCTCAGTAAGTGATATATGCTTTACCTTTTCCATTAGCTGCCCTTCAAACCACTTAAAAAGAAAAAAATTTACAAACATATATCTTGCCACCTAATGTTCCACTTTTAGCTAAAAATTGCCAATTTAAAATGTCATCCTACTGTCTATCATTCATCCTAATATTAGTTCCCATTTCCCATCCCCAAAGGCCTAACTAGCAACCATGTGTATCCATGAGCCATGAAAAGGCTCTGAAAAATGATTGTTCACTTTCTTTTCCTTCTCTGATCCTTTCTAAAATCCTTATTTAAAGCTCTGTGGCCTGACCAACTACTATCAGAGAAAGATATAGAGAAACTTTGGCCATGTTTCTTGCAAGATGCATCTTCAGCAATGGAAAATATACAGAGGCCTACTAGCTTCATGTGTAGAAGATATTTGCAAAAATAATATCTATATCAGATCTATAGAGGCAGGAATCACCCTCCAGGGACTGTTGCTCCAGTATGCTTCTCTGCTGGCCTTCTGCCACTGGCAATATAGATTCCCCAGTAAATGTTTCTGCTGGCAGAGCTCTCTATAATTGCTTCATAGAAGTAATGGAGTAGAAGCCACAAGAGTTAATTCTGCATCAAGCTGTATTAGCTACTGATAGAATTTTCATGTGGACTGAAGAGGAAATGAGATAGCAAAATGACTCATACCATTCTTTCTTGTTCAGAGCTCCTTTGGTGCAGAAGAGAAACAGAAAGGCTTTTTATGAGATTCAAAGAATCAAAAAAGCATCATCAGTGTAGTTCAGAACCTGAAAAGGTTGTAACCTGTCTGACATAAGTGGAAGACTGGATCCTCTTAAGTTGCGAAAATATTTCAGGCTGTATAAATCAACTGAAGATTAGAAGGGACAAGAGGTAGAGGTACAGGCATAGGATATGTTTGCATTACACACTGGGAGTATGAGTGAGCTCATGCTTACCTACACTCGCATCCAAGCAGATGTGATCTTGTTCTGCCTGCACCTAGAGTTCATAAAAAAACTGTATGAGAGTGCATTCGTGTGATGCTGAGACAAAACTAGTCAACCTACCCTCTCAGGAAGAGTATTTGTCAGAAAATCCTCATGGTGCTCAATAGCATTTTCCCGCATATTACTGAAGGGAACTAATGGTGGTCACCAAAAGATTATCTTTCCTCTTCCCCTGCATGAGGAGTTCTCGGAGTGGCTTATTCTGCCAAAGTAGAGACACACCTTTTGGATATCTTGGAATTATCTATTGACAACTGAGCACTGCTGGGATGTCCCAAATTAAGGACAAACTTACTCAGAGGGATGAAATACTTCAGTGTTAGCCAGTTACCTTAAAATTACACTTATTTCAACCCAGGTTTAATTTTTTTAAAAAGGTATTTATTTATAAAATTAAAAAAATGTCCACAGTGGAAAGGTATGGCATCCCAACACATGAAGAGCAGGCAATTAGTGGGCTAGCTGTAATGTAACAACAGACAGCACTCCCACACCTGCTCTGCTGCAAGATCCTGGTTGTGTGATCTAATTTGGTAGTGCTCCCTGAAAGAACAATCAGCTTTCTTTGAAAAACACAGGTTTGGCATGTTGGTACACATCTGTATAAATGTTCAATATTCAGTGTTCACCACTTTTAGCTTCTCAACTTAATTTCACATTGGTGGTGTTAATTTTCTCACCTTACCTTGATATTTGCCTTCTATTAGTTTTTCTACAAGATTTATAGCTTTCTTTGCTGTCAGAACAACACTGCTGCGTTGTAGCTTTTTAATAAATGTATTACTCTCCCAACATCTTCATCCATGTCTGATTTTGATCTAGAGTCATGTAGAAGTGTGAGGTTCTGCTCTATATATACAACATTAGATCTCATCTTTCATACAGTTCCCATTTCTAGACTTCACAGAAGATTCACAAAAGAATTCACCATCTGGAACTAGGATGATGCAGTCTGTTCAGTTAGCATTTCGGTGATGCATGTGTAACACACTGACCTACTGCAAGTGATCATGTATCGCCTTTCAGTTGGGCAGGAGGAACCATTGCTCTGTGGAACTACAGTTTGGTATTACAGAATTAGTAAGTCTAGCCTGCTTCATTTGCTGCAGACTTCACCCACTCAACATCGTTCTGGCGGGTCTCTTCCATAAATCTATTCTGCCTCCTTGTATGTACATACCTTGTCTCTGAAAGCAGCTATGTGCATACTCGCATGGAACTGAGACTGGAGGTAGGCAGGGCCATGCTGTGAAATTCTGGTTTCTCTTGCCATGGCCTGGAGCTTTGCAAGTGATGCATTCAATGGGGAGATGAGTGAGCTCAAAGAAAAAGGACTGTTTTCCACCCCCACCCTGCCGGGAAGGGCTCAGCAGATGCCAGGAAATGAGAAAAAGGGATAGGGAAGTCCGGGAACATAAGAGAGGGAACTAGGTGAATCTGTGGTAGGAAAACTGAGAAGGCACAGGTTCCTCGCCATCTAGTAGTTAGTACTTAGAGGGAATGTCTGAGGAGTTGGAGAGTCAAAAGGCGGAGGTGGCATGCACTTGGAAAACAGACACCACCAACAGCATAAACATGAGCTGTATATTAGGGTGCCAATATTTTTGGTAGGCTCTGAATCCTATTTGGCTTTTTATTACATATGCTTCATTCCCTACTGAATATCTGATTCCCAAACAGTGAAACATCAGCTACTTCTAAATGTCAGTTGAATCTGTACTAGTGGTGTTGCTCAAACTGCATTTTTAAAAATAGTCTTGAAGCAGCAAATGTGCTTTTTAAATTCTCAGTGTTATGTAAAAGGCACAATATTTTTAGCCTTACAAAATATCAGTTGTCATCTTCTCACTCTCTCTCTTTGGTATGTAGGGGATGGGGACTGGAAGCTCTCAGATTATACATAATTGTTTGCGACACGGTTTTGGAGTTACACAAATCTTAATAAAACATTTTTTAAAATACCCAAAAGCTTAAAATGAAGTCTGAACAAAGAAGTTCTTGTTCTTTGTTATTGGTATCTCTTATTATCTCTTATCCCTTACAATTTACTGTATCTCTTACTGCAATGGAGAAATGCAGGCTGTTCAGTGTTCCCCTTCCCAAAGCAAGTGGACAACTGGAGCTGACCAAGGAGGCTTCTTTGCTTTCAGGATGTTCCATCTGAGAAGGCTGTCATCATCCAGTGCCTACCTATACATTGTGTGGATATCATATATGGATGGCTCTTGCACTGTTTTAAATTTACCATACCCTCGCACAAATCTACAATCTTTACTGTTTTGCTTTAAAAGCCTGTTTTCCATACAAGTATATACTTTCTTTTCTATCAAATCTCATTTTTTGTTTTATATTTTTAAGATAGAGGCTTGATGGGCAAGATTGGGAGGACACTGTTTTAGAGACCATGGCCATAAAGGCAGACAAGCAGGAAGCAAAAGGATTATTGCTGGTAGGTCCCAGCAACTCTTTTTATGAGGTTGAACACCAGGTGTGAAAGTGTTGGGAAGAAAGCTGTTGGTGGGAGGCCCAGTTATTTACAAATAGCTTTGTAAATACCCCATTTATTTATTTTGGCAGCAGTAAGTGTAATGCTGTCTCTGGAACCATCAGTCACTCTGCAGAAAATGGTTTGATAGGGCTTCTCTCATAACATGGCCCACCCTGTTTTCATCAGAAACCTGATGAGATCCCACTGGCACAGTTTCACAGGCATTTTTCACTGCCTGCTGTTCCCAACTTTCAGCCAGGGCTGTTGCAGACATCACTTGGGACTCAAGAATCCAAGGGAAGAAGTACATTTCCATAGGAAGCCTGACAACTGATGATCTCCATGTAGATTTCAGCCAGCCAAATGCATACCTAAAGCTGCTTACCTGGTAACTGAAGTGTTTTGGATAAGGGTAAGTAAAGATACCAAATAACTTGTTTCATGAGCCATGGAAGCAAAGGGTCAGGAGGTGTGCCAGGTTACCTAGGAGATATGGTCATCCTGTTGACCTTCATCAAGACAATTGGAAAATGCCCTGGTTGAAGGAAGTGCCTCTCCAGAAATGCACATCAATAGCTCAGTTGTTTAATGCTATGCCTCAAGTCCTTGTCCAGGCCATCTACCACTGATAGCGGTGACAAGCAGCGATGGTTCAGGTTTAATAGAAGGAAATCCCTTCTCATTGGGGTAAAATACCAATCCAGAAATTAGGCTATGCCTCTGTCACCTCAGCACATCTTTGGAGAACCAAATGGGCAAACTGTCAAAGACTTTGTAGTATGAGATAAACCACTTTTTGAAGACCTCTCCTGCATTTTAAACGGCAGCTGTGGCTACTGAGCTCTCAATATTACACAGACTATCTACAAAGTGCTGAGAATTGGTGGCCTGTAGCTACTACTCTCCTATTCTCCCCAGCCAGTAGCTCTCATACAGCGCTTGATCACGTTGCTAGAATTAACTTAGCAAACATCTTCTGTAAGGCCTTTCACATCGTTATGTTTTCAACCTACTGAAAATCATAATAGCTTGAAGGACAGCTCTCTCCCATACATTGTCACTTGTCACAGACCTGTAGCTGGTACTGAAAGCTGGTACTCCCTTGCAAGGCCCTGATAATTACACCCCCAGCCCCAGGAAACAGTCCAAGATTTGTGTCTCGTCTGTAATCATCCTCTTACTCATATTGGCAGTAAATTAATCTGCAAACATACTAGTAGCCACATGTACCAAGCCTGGCAACTGCAGAAAACTCCATACAGCTCCATAGTTCCTGCTTTTGCAAAGCAAGGCCTTGAGGAACTGCACCACTTAAAGTTGTGCTGAAACTGTGTTTTATTGTGCAGTTTGTAGATAGTGTTTTTCTTAATATTTTCGGCAAGCAGACTGTCAGACCGGGTGCCTATATTGTTTGTTTCTTGTTTTGCTCCAAGGCCTTGGTCCTTTCATCATCTATACTATGCACATTTTAGTTTGTGTCAGGACTTCAGTCTGGACTAAACCAACTATTTATTTTGGTGAGGCTCAAAAGAGAGGGTAGTTCACTTCAAGGTCCACACCTCTATAGGACTACACCAAGTTTCATTCTTCCTGCCCAGAACAATCTTCTTATGTACTCCTAGTGTTCTCACAAGTCCAATATGCTTTCATGCCATGCCCTGGCACATGCATTGCACATCTTTGTTAGTCTGCTACAAAAAGAGAAGATTAGCAGTCTGCAAAAGCCACCCCTCCTTATTTAGCTGTGGGGCTTCTTCTGCAGCAAGAAAATAATGACACTCTGGTAGAAAGGGGCCACACGGAGACTGGAGAGATCAAGATACTATGCCAAGGTAACGTTGTTGAGATTGCCTATTGTTTGGCTGTAGCTCAGCACCTCTCTCCCTGCAATACTGAGTTGCACCAGATGCTTCTCTGGGAGGCCACCACAGAACTTCTCCCTTTGTATGAGCAGGAGGAAGCTCAGAATGAGACCCAGGGGAGTTGAGAGCCTGCTTTTTGCTGACTGGATCTGGGGGAGGAAGCCTTTTTCAAGGATGACATCCTCCCACACACACACATACTAAATCCCCTAGCATGCAACTAGCTGTGCACCCAGCTCTGGTGAGTACATATCTTTGATTACACTTATTTGAAGGAAGGAGCATAGCATATTTGTGCCGTGCTTAGGAGAATACACTCCATACCAATGAGCAGACAGGAGACTTCTGCCACAAAAACATGGCACTTAGAAAGAGTCTTGTACCATGCCCAGGTACAAGGGCATGCCTGGCAGGCTCCCAGGTCTGTTTCTTTGACGGACAGCTCTGGCAGACAATATTTGTGCATAACAACTAAACATGTCACAACTTGTCTTACTGGAGGCAAGGCATGGGGCATAAGGTTGTGGATATGACAAGTGTATCAATGCTTTCCAAGCATAATTGCCTCTGATAGGCATCCATACCCAGCCATACACATACCAGCCTTGTCCCAATTCAGCTGCGTCCCACTGCTTTCTCCAGTCCTTGGCTGACCATTCTCAGTTTTCTGGAGTCACAGAACAGCTCATACTCCAGCTGTGGGGAAGAGATATCCACTGGAACAGCCTCCTTGCTTTCTTAGTCTCTCAGGCCCAGAGCCCTGCAGCAGTGAGCAGGAGGGAGAACACTGTGAGAGAGAGATGAAGGCCTCCAATGAGCACTCCCAGGAGCCATGGAAATGCAGGCCCGCCATCCTGCTGAGACATGGACAGAGGCAGCATGGACCCTTGGGGACAGGAGCCAATGGGACAGAAGTGGGACTGAACCCAGTCGGTTGTTCAGAGACCTCTCTAGGAGAATTCATGATCTTTGCAAATAACATTCTTAACTGCATGCCATTTTTACAGATACATGAGCATGATGAGGGTCAGAAGGACTGGGGGCTCTGTGGTCTCCAGTGTGGGCCTCTGCATTTGACTCTATGGCATCCAGCACTCAACATGCATCCAGCATGGAACTGAATCACTGCACCCTGACACCTCCTTTCAGTGAGGAGAATGAGGTCTGGTAAGTGCCTCCTCCCTTTCCTGCACATCAAGGCAGACTGTTTTTGCAGCGTGATGATACCTATGTAGTAGCTGCTTGCCTGACCCCATGCAGGTGCAGCATGGGCCTGATCTTCTCTGTACCTCTTGGCCTGAGGACCAGAGCAGACCCATTATATATTCCTAACTCTTGCAGTAGGCCCAGATATAGTATTTAGATATGATAATATAGCACAGGATAAGCGTATGAGTAGCAGCTTAGCATAAATCAATAAAATGTAGTTAGACTAAACAGAAGTTACATGATCAAAAAAGTATCCGAGATGCAACACAGATGTGAGACAGGACTTTTTGTTGGGCAAAAGGATAGGAAAAATATATGGACTGCTAAGTAGCACTACTAATTGTTACCTAGTTAAGACTGAGATAAAGTAGTATTACTATATCCATTGATATAGATGAAAACTGTACAGATTCAGACATTTTATATTATTAACATAACAAAAGCATCCTGTCCAGCGTCCATGTTGCTTTCTTCTGACCTCGAACCTATTATCATCACAAAGATTCCCATCCACAGCTACCCGAACCCTCTTGAAACGTAGTTGCTGAATCTAGGTAAGATTTTATGCCCTAAAAGTTTAATTCCCTATTAGCATACCTGGAATCCTTCCTTTTGCATTCAGGGACTTATTTTTTTCTTCTCTTACCTCTATTCTCATTTTCATTTTGTAGCCACCTAATCACTGTTAGCATACTCTTCATCTCAGTGCAACACATGTATTTGCCATATCAGTTCTGTATTGCATTAGTCTTTATTTACTCATTGTACCACATGACTGAACTGCCACTTAAGATTCTTTATATCTGTTTACATGAAAAATCTGTCTCTTTAAGGTTCCTAGGACTCTCAGAATTTGCCAGATTTGGTTTGATGGCTGACACTGGGGCTTGCTTCTTGCCACCAATCTCAAAGAAGCACCCAGCTAGAACTTTAGATGTTCTAAATCCTTTCAACATCTGCTTTGTAGTGGGCTTTGTAGTCATACCACCCTGTAGCTATGGAGCGGAGTAGCATTCACACCATAATACACTCCAAAATATCAGATCATATTATCCATGGCATGGGGTGGCCAAAGTGAATCATCCAGAGAACTGCTAATTCTAGAAATGAGAGTCAAATATGTGTCCTCTGGCACAGCAAGCTGAGCATACCTGCTGATCGACCCCTGTACCCAGACAGCTAAGCTCCTACTCAGTACTCATATTTTGCTTCAATTGATTAGATTTACTGCAACGGTATACATAACAAGGCGCTAACATCAGTGTGCAGCAGAAAAATGTCCACCCTTCCAAGCAAGGAAGGGGTTGCATGAAGGAAGGTTCTTAGTGTAAGGGAGATTCTTATTTTCTTTCTGGAGGAATCAGAACTAACAAAGGGAAGGTAGCTGAGCTTAATTTCCAATGACAAAAGCACAAACTTTAAATCAGGTATCTGGCAAGCATGAAATCTGATTTAACTTCTTTTGCTCCTAGGTATTCTGATTTGAGAATCAGCGCTCATAGTGACGAGTTAACACAAATAGGAGGGCGTGCTTTTCCTTTTTCTTATTCCTGTGCTTGAGTTGCTTTCATGAGCAGGTCTCTGTGGGACCCATGAGCTCATGAAAGAATTTAGAGTGTAGTTATTAGTGCACTGGCTTTGGCAGCAAAGCTAACTCAGAAGTCTGTCCCACACCATCCTCCTTGCCCTCATTGCCTGTTTCTACTGTTCATATCATAGTTTGCTGCCCCATCAGTCATTCCATTAAAACTATCTGTGAGACTGAAGAACGAATCAGATATTTGAAATGATCCTGGTTAAAATGATCCTTTTTTTTTTTTTTGAAAAATATCCACACCGCTGGATAAAAAGCATTTCTATTCAACCAGCAATAAACATACACCACATTGCTGAGAAAATCAAATGTGCAAGCATCTGGATTTATGGGGACATGACCAGAAAGAATGGGGGGGAAGGGTGAATTTATTTGTTTTGCACTGACATCTTTCCCCCAGCAAGGGGGAAAAGGATTGTCTGCACTAGAAAAGTGACGGTATTAGAACACCCAGCACAGCACAGAGAATATTTCTATATCCTACACAATTACTTAGTGCACCAACCATGATAGATAACTAGGCTGATGATGTGCCTACAAAAATGCCAGTAACTTTAGGATTATAACACTCTTTAGCACCCATGTAAGAGCTATACATCCCTAGACATTTCACAGCTATAGATCAATAGTTCTACAGTTACAGCTAAGGAAGCAGTGAGCTGCTCTGTGATATGCAATGCAATGGGAGGCATTTTCATATGGTATGCAAAAATAAAAAAACCTCACAGAGGGCCCAACTTTTCTAACTGTATCAGCTGGTTAAATAAAAGATGTTACCTCTTTGTACAAACCTTGCTTGTAAAATTAAAGATTTGTTTACACTGGATTTCTTAAGCCTTGTTGAACCTGTATTTTTATAGCTCTCTTGAATGGACATATTGCAGTAGTGCACACTGGGAGTCTAACTGGTGTGGCTTACTCATCAACCTGTAAGTAACTTACCAGCACTGGAGGGGTTTACCTATCTATGTTAGTAGGTAAATCTTAGAATCAGACAAGTCCCAAATCTCCTGAGCGTTACCAGATAAAATAATTCTTCAGGGAATTTGCAACAATAGGGGGGTATTAACACCAGTATTAAGGCCAAATTCCAAAATATAATGATTACACAAAGCACAGGAATTCTACCTTCTTTGATGCCCCTTTTTCCTAACAGGCTTAGAAGCAAGAAGTAACAAAGACTGGCATTGGAAATTACATGCTCTGTTTTGCTGGGTCAAGCTCTCCTGGCTCTAGAGCAGGACCGAGATCCCAGCCAGCACTGGAAATCAAACCGAAGTACAGCACAGGCAACCCAAAGAAGAAGTTCAAGTGGCTAATCTTTGAAATAAAAGAGTTTAGTCTTTGCCTTGCAGCCGGTAAGAGAAGAACAAGTCACTTTTTTTGTGCTGTGGAGTCGTCTGAGGTTTGCTTTACTTTCTGAAGGGTCGGGGGAGCATGAGTCAGAAGCTCTGGCAGCTGCTTCACGCGAGCAAGAGGCCAGCAGGGACCCTGACTCACCAGGGCTGCTAAGTTTCTTTCTAAACTCCAGCTCAGCGACTGGAAGTGAAGTCACGGCGTGGGAGTAGCTCTGGAGGTAGGGAAA